GCTGTCTCCACCAGACATGCCCCCAGAGGAAGAAAGAACTGTGCAAACATACTCCGAGTTTCTCAAGAAGCGTCGGGGAGGCGCCATCCCCGCCGACAGCCCCGCATCGACCCCCGTCGCGGGCAGCCACCGCGCGCCGAAGGCGCTCCGACCCCCGTCGAGGCGCGACGACGAGGCGAGGTTGACCCCCGTCGGGGGAGGTACCCCCCTCGCTTATGGAGACATCCAGAGTTGACGCTCGGAGTTCCGCGCGGATCTCTTGGATCGGCGCTGGGCCCTGGCGCGCGGAGTGCGCCAGGGGCGGCGCTGGAGGCGCCGCCAGGAGGCCCGGCGCTGATTCAAGAAAGCCGCGCGGAGCTCAGATCCGAAAGTTGTTGTTAATGCTGTTCATTTCTTCCCGAAGTGCAAGACCATTGCTGCCGAAGCACGAGAAGAGCTGAGAACATTCTCTGGCAGGCCAATTCAGGCAGGCCAGGTCACCCCGCCACTGCCTGGAGATCGGCGGAGGCGGCTCTGGCGAGTGGCCTCCTCACTCCGGCTCCTCGCCCTTGCAGCCCTTGTGCTCTTTCGCGCAGCAGTACGAGATCTTCTTCGGAGACCACGACAACTCCAGGCAGTGCATGCAGTGGTGGTAGCCCGCGTCGCAGTCGTACTGGCTCTTGTCATCCTCGGGGGGCGCGTCGCCCTGCGGGAGGCCCGAGGGCGGGGGCAGCTCCGAGGGGCAGCCCTTGTTGGCGGTCTTGCAGCAGTACATCTTCTTCTCGCCAGACCAGCCGCGCACCCACTGCAAAGGGTCGAGGTCGTTGTAGCCGGCGTTGCAATCGATCGGGCACGGGGACGTGGTGCTCATCGCCGTTGTCACCACTGGCGCGGCGGGCACGACCGGCGCCGGCATGGTGCTGGGCGCAGCGGGCGTCGTCGGGCAGCCTTTGCCCTCGTGCAGGCAGCAGTACACCTTCTTGGGCACGTCCCAAGACACGACATCACCCTCGCCGCAGTTGATCTTCTTTTCGGTGGTCGGCGGCTCAGTCGGCTTAGGCGGGGGGGGCGGCGGAGGCGGCGGCGGCGGTGGGGGCGGCGGCGGCGCAGCCGTCGTGGCCTTCGTGGTGGTGGTCCTCTCAGTGGTGGTGTCAGGCGGCGGGGTGGTCGTGATGATCAGTGGGGCGGTGGTCGTCGTCATCGTGGTGGTGGTCGTCGTCGAGCCCGGCGCCATAGCGAAGAGCAGGAGGGGCAGCAGGAGGAGCGACAGCCCCAGGGGCACGAGGCAGATCAAGCAGAAGTTCGGGCCGCGGCCGGGAATCCGGACCGCCCCGAACTCGCCCGCGCCCATACCGACGTACCTGTAGCTGGTCTCCTGGACGTAGTCGCCACCCGGGCCCACGTAGCTCAGGATCGTGCCGCCGCCGGAGCCGGAGCCGCATCCTGAGCCCGCGCCGCAGCCTGAGCCCGTGCCGCAGCAGTCCGAGCCCCTGGCGCCGTACGCGCCCCCAGCGCCGTACGCGCCGCCGGCCCCGTACGCGCCGCTGGCGCCGTACGGCGCGACCGCGCCGCCAGTGCCGCAGCACCCGGCGCCGCCAGCGCCATACGCGCCGGAGCCGTAGGCGCCGCCGGCGCCGTAGCCTCCGCCGAGGCCTCCGCCGAGGCCTCCGCCGTGGCCCCCACCAAAACGGTAGGACATGTCAATGCAACGAGGGGAGGGAGCTGTGGCTGCTGCAGCGGGGCTCTCGGAAGATGAATGGCACCTTGGAGCCAGATGGGTACGGACGATGGTGATGATAGTAACAGGGTGCCCTCTAGGCAGAGGTGGTCTAGAGCGTTTCCCCTTCCGATCCCCGTGTTCACTCTTTGGGTAGGGGTTTGCAACTGCTCTGTGTTAATCAAAACCTGCTCCTCCACTCGACCAGCGATCGCTTAGGAACAATGCCCCCCCCTATCGCGTGTCAGAAACGATCCGCCACCGTGCCCCCTGGCACGTTGAGGCATGGAAGAATGCCAAGGTCTGTCTGCTAAGGTTTCTTTTGAATTCTACTGAGGAGCCGCCCCTCCCTATACCCGCGGACTCCTGCGTGCATCCCCCCTAACTCACCGATGCCACTTCCACGCGTGCCTGCTCGAGGATAGTGCACCTCCCGCGTGTCAGCTAATGCCTGAACCCCTCCTTCCACGCGTGCCCTTCTCGAGGATGGTGCTCTTCCCGCATGGCAGCTGATGCCCGACCCCTCCTTCCACGAGTGCCCGCTCGAGGATGGCTCACTTCCCGCATGGCAGCTAATGCCTGAACCCCCCTTCCACGCGTGCCCGCTCGAGGACGGTGCACTTCCCGCAGGGCAGCTGATGCCTGAACCTCCCTTCCACGTGCACCTGCTCGAGGATGGTGCACTTCCCGCATGGCGGCTGCCACCAGATACCTCATTCCATGCGCGCTGGCTGGAGGTTTGCGCACTTCCAGCGTGCCAGCTACCTCCTAGACCCTTCATCCCACGCGCACCCGCTCGAGGATCGTGCAGATCCCGCATTCCCAGGCGCTGCTCCCAAGCGCTCCGGGGCCTCCCAAGCCACGATCCCTCGTTAAAAACGATGATCTGTGCCTCGAGCTTCCACGACGGCCCGTGCAGGCGACCGAGGACACCAAGATTGCCCAAAATGCCTCGAAGATGGCTCAAGATACCTCCAAGAGGGCCCAAAAGGGCCACAAGAGGACCACAACGTCCGAAGAGGCCAAAATCATTGATTCCCCTAAATTTTTTGAATGAGTTTCGCATTCTCGCCTTTTCGGGCTGCCGTCAGCCCAAGACGGTCCACGAGGACCCCACGATAGCCCAAGAGGCATCCAAGACGAGCCCAAAACGGCCACAAGACCGCCCAAGACGACCTCCTGTGGGACCCAAGACGGCCTTAGACGGCCCTTGGATGTCCCAAGACGGCCCCCTCCGACAGTCCCCAGACATCCACCATACGGCTAAGAGGGATCCAAAACAGCCCAAGAGGGCCCGAAGGACCCCCCAAGACTGCCTCACAAGAGGCCAAAGACAGTGCCAAGAAGGCCCAAACGAGTTGCATCATCTTCATTATCATCATCATCGTCGTCATCATCATCATCAACCTCATAATCATCATCAGCAGCATCATCATCATCAACATCGTCATCGTCATCATCAACATCAGCATCCGCATCATCAGCATCAACATCATCATCACAGCCCCGATTATCATTATTATCACCCTCCTCCTCCTCCTCCTCCTCCTCCTTCTCCGCTCACCCTAGTCCACAAATCCCTGTCTAACAAGCAGGTACGTAAGCACTGGCGCCTGTGTTCGTTGTCTGTCGAACTGCGGGTTCAGCGGCTTAAGCGGCTGCAAGCAATCTCGCGACACCCTGAGTGGCATCGACAGGGGCTCGCGGCACACTTCGGAAAGATGGGGTGGGAGGCGGAGGAGACGATGACGGAGTTGGGGCAGCTCAAGGCGTCGGCGAATCCGTGGGCTCTGAGGGTTCTAGAGGACGTGAAAGCCTTGGGGGCGGTGGAGGATGCTGAGTGGTTTCTGAGCGAGATGGAGGATTATGTTGCGGACCTGTTTTGCGACACTGGGGTGAGGCACGATTTCCTGAAGGTGGACGTGGGCCTGCTGAGGGCCCAAGATGTTCAAAAATCGTGCGCAGAGGACGGGCCTGGGCGTCATGATCGTCGTGAGGGGGAGGAGGGACGTTGGCGGTGTTTTTTCGAAGAGCACGGGCAGCCGTGCAGGTCGTCGTTCGCTTCCAATCGTGCCTTGTCCACTCACATTTAGCGTGTGCACCGCCTTACCGACATGTACGCGTCGATCGTCGAGACTAATCAATGCCCGTACTGCCTCGACGTCTTCTCCTGCCGTCAAGCTGCGTATCGGCATGTCATCGCTAGGCAAGTTCGTCCTGATCGAGTCTCGAGGGGGCGCTTTCTTGGGGCCGTGGACATGCCTGACACCTTCGATTGCCCGTTGTGCGAGTATTCGGCTCAAGATCTTCTGGCTTTACACCAACACGTTGTTTCGCACGTGCCTGGGCATAGGCATGCCGCTCGAGGAGCCGAAGTGGGCGCTGAAGCGCGGCGCCGACGAGCAAGGCAGTCAGGAGCGGAAGAAGTTGCTGACGCAGATCAGCGCCGGCGGCAGCGGCACCAAGCAGCAACTCCTAGAGTGCATGATGAAAGTGCTCGCCGCGCTGGCTCTCACGCAGGAGGCCGAGCTTCGAGACCTGATCGCGGCGGTCAACCACACATTCCTCATCCCCGCCGCCTCGCCCATTGCGTCCGCGATGAAGCGGGCGGGCCAGGAGTACCACGCCCACGCCAAGCAGCTGAAGGCGAACGGCGGGCAGGACGGAGGCGGCGGGGGCCACGACATCCTTGGTCCGCCGTTTGTTCACGTGTTCAAGGCGCTGGTCAAGGCAGCGCACGAGACGGCGGACCTGAATCAGACGCACTGCGAGACGATCGAGGCCTTCTGGACAAACCAGGTGCTGAAGGAGGAGTTGCACTCGTTGGCGGAGCAGATCCGCCACTGCAGGATCAAGGACACTCGCAAGAAGGAGAACGCAGGAGAGATGATGAGGATCACGATCTGCTTTTTCGAACGACTGGCGGGACCTCGAGGCGGCGGTGTGCTCGGCCATCAAGAAGGAGAATGGGGTGAAGAAGATCGGCCCACCGCCGAGGGGCCCGCTGGCGAGGGAGGCCTCGAAGTTGCAAGAGGAGCTGAACAACCTCAGCTGAGCCGAGTGGCGCGCCTCCTCAGGGCATCGGCCACGCGGAGGGGGGACAGACGTCAAACCCAAGCCCTGGTGAGGGGCCTGGACCGTCTGGCAGCGCTGGAGAAATTAGGCGCCTAGCTGGGCGCCTTGAAGTTGCTTCAGTGCGAATGGCTGACCTTCTCATGAGAGGCCATTTGGACTCTGGAGTTGCACTAACTTTTTAAGGGCTCGGGAAGGTCGCGTAAGGCCTCCGAACGACTCGGAGAAAGGGAAGGGGCGGGGTACGGCGGGGAGTGGGCGGGGGGCGGGGGGAGGGCAGTAAGGCGTGCGGCTTGTGCCATCAGGGCCACGTGTGGGCATCCACGTGCCATGGCGCCTGCAGGCCAGTCGCGGGATCCCCCGTGCAGTGTGCCTGTCGTCATCTTTCAGTTGGCACACGGAGTGTGCGTCGCCGATGCCTCGATTTTGAGACTCAGAGACCAGAGGCGTCAATGGTGCTCTTATCTTATCTTATCCTATCTTATCTTATATTATCGTATCCTTCTCCGCCTCCTCCACCTCCATTCTTCCCCCTTGCAAGCAACTCCTCCCTGTCTAGAGACCTCCTAGATGGGGTCCGAGGAGATGTGTCCAGAGGATCGCGCCGCATCGCCAATGCACTGGCGATATATCGGCGCTGCATCGGTGATGCATCGGCGATGCACCGGCGATGCACTGCCGACGTCGGCGATGCGTCGGCGACGTCGACGCGAAGCAAATCGGGCTGCGCGTCGAGCCGCATCTGAAGGGGCCCTGGGACACACAAACAAAAACACACAAATATAACACATCCATGATAGTTTCCCACATGTTCTGGGTGTTTGTTTCCCCCACCCACTTCCCATATTTTCGCATATTTTCGCACTTCCCATATTTACAGGGGTGTTGTTGAGAGATCGCCGCATGCATGCATGTGTTTTTGTTTGCCGTATCGCATTGCACGCAGTATCGTGTCGATCATGCACTTGCTGTGTTCGCATGCCGCTGCCATCTTCACTTGAGCCCCGACGAGCCCCAGCAGGGGCGAAACGTTGACACGCGCAGTGAAAAGGCACGGGCTTGAGAGCGCCATACGAGTAAGGCCGACGGTCCTATCTCAGGGGGGGGAAACAAAACGACGCGAAGATCGGGACAAGATCGGATCGGGATGACTCGAGATCTCTGAGAATCGGCGGGTTCGGAGGATGTATTCGGCGCCGCGGCCGCTCCAGAGCGTTCCGGGACGCTCTGAGAGCGCTCCGGAACGCTCTGGAGCGATTTATCCCGATCCTAGCCCTGTTTTAGAAAACACACACACAATGAGTCGTCGATCCCCAGGAAAATACGTGTTTGTGTTTGTGTTTGTTTGCATATTTGTGCTTGTGTGTTTCTTTCCCTCCTGAGCATCGGCGGTGCATCGGCGATGCGGCGCCGACCCTCCGATCCCCTCTGCGCCGAGCCCCGCCGGCCTGCCGCGCGCGGGCGCCCGCCGCCGCTCTGCTCCGAGCTCTCGCCGCCCGCCCTTCCCTGCCGCCCGGGGGCGGGGGTCGCGCCGGAGGAGGAGGAGGAGGAGGAGGGGGAGGAGGAGGAGGAGGAGGAGGGGGAGGGGGAGGAGGGGGAGGAGGAGAGGGAGGAGAAAGAGGAGGAGGAGGAGGAGGAGGAGGAGGAGGAGGAGGAGGGGAAGGGGAGGGGGAGGAGGGGGAGGAGGAGGAGGGGGAGGAGGAGGGGGAGGAGGAGGAGGAGGAGGAGGAGGAGGAGGAGGAGGAGGAGGAGGAGGAGGAGGAGGGCAGGAGCGTCACGGATGGGGGGCGGGCCGTTCTCAAAGCGCGGCTCTCGCCTGAGCGCGTTGCGCGCGCTCGTCGGGCGGGCCGCCATTTTCAGAGCGTGGCTCTCTCGCTCGAGCGCCGCGCACGGTCGCCTCCAGAAGCTGCAGGAGCTCCACGCATGGAGGGCGGGCGGTTTGGAGAGCGTGGCTCTCGCCGGAGCGCCTGGCACATTCGTCTTGGCAGATAAATCGG